TGTGCAAAGCTTATTGCATCTTCTAAATTGTCTAAGAATGTTATTATATTTTGACAATTTAATATAATTTGATTTATAGTATTCTGAGCTTGCAAAAATGCAGTTATGTCATTAATTGATTTCTTTATATTTGATTTTAATGTTTCAATATGTTTTTTAATTATATTTTGATTATTTATGAGTACTGAAATCGTCTCATTATAATTTTGAATAAGTTGTTTAGTTAATGACATATGTAAATTCACTTCACTTTGAAAGGAATTTTGACTATTCTGCAATTCATTTATTGCTTTATCATATTTTTCGCCATCTTCAGCGTCTAGTGTTCCAAATAGCCACTTCGATACTTTTCCGCCTAAATTTATTAAACCTCTTTTGGTTCCTGTATGTGGTTGAACATTATTTAATTTTGTTTTAGCTTCTATTTAAGATATTTGGTATGATTCATCATAGCTTTTAAATTTGGCAGATGTGTATATCGACTTATATTCATTTTATTTAAATTATGATTTATTTGATTATAAAATATTTCAATATTTTGTAATTGATTTATTATTGGTAAAACTTCAATGTAATGAATGAATGTGTGTTTTGTTTCAATAATCTTTGTATTACCTAATAGGAATGGTAATAAAGGAGTTTGAATTGAGTTATCGTAATGTCATTGTCATTCGTCACTGTCAGACAGGTTCGTGTTCGCAGCATGACTAGTAGAAGCAACAGCAGTATTGTCTTTATTTTGTCCCTGCGAATAAAAAACTTTTAGGTTTCTTTAATCGTGATTTATAAATAACTTTATCTTTTGAAGTTATTATTTTCTTTCCTATATCATCTTTTATAGATATTTTCTCATAACGTGGTTGATCTTTAGATCTTTTCTGCTTTTGGATTTTCGTATAAGCAGATTTTTCTATATTATATTCAATGGGTTCTTCACGATTTTCATTGTTTTTATTGATAATCTTCGTTTTAGTTTCTAGATTTCTTTTATAAATGTTTTTATAAATAATTTTTAATTTTTCACGTCGATCATCAATATATTTGTTGACAATTATTTCATCTGTTAAATCAAAAGGATCTAAAGCATTAAGCTTTCCATTTATTATATCAAAGGGTTTTTGTTTCGTAACGCTGTGTACAGATAAGTTATATCCTACCGACTGCGCCAATTATATTTCTCCGAACGAAGAGCGTGTTTTAAAAAACTTTATTGAGTAGGTAGGTAATACAGTACTAAAAGTTAACACAGGATCGTGAACAAGATTGATTCTATATAGGGATTACAAGCTTTTATATATAATTTAATGTTAACATAAGCATAAAACTATTCTAGAATATGGGTGGCTTCGTTGGCAGCTTCCATTCATGGGATGCCCATAACTTAAGATTGTCACGGTTTTTTTTAACAGGGCACTGTCTTCTCAATGAACAGCTCAGTAGATTGAAGCTAAAGGTGGGTATTCACTTGCAACAAAACACTCCGAACGAACTAAACGCGCCGCGCACTCCAAACAATCTGCAACAAAACAATTCCCGGGCGCGCTCTGAACGACCTGCAACAAAACATTTTGCGCGGAGCGTTCCGCCTGTTTGCAGTGTTCGCTGCTTTCCCACCAGTAATCAGTGTTAGTGTGTTTGTCGACATAGATGCATCTGATATTAACATAGCAGTTGGTGCTTTTTTAATTATAGAGGCATTAGCTGGTAAGAAAAAAGAGAAAAAAAAGAAAAGAACGAAAAATATGGGCAAGACGCCTCTTTTTGCGCCGTCAAAATATGGCCTTACTTAGTGACCTCTAGATTATATGCATATGAAAAATTGCGGTGCACCCTATATCATTAGCAATTGCCACCCAAGAATCATACTTCTTTACTTTGTTATCATATGTACCAGTCCCATTTGTCGGGTCCCATAAAATAGGCTGCTTCTCAAACTCATCAATTAACTCTAAACACTTAACTCTGTTCCACTCCATAGCTAGGCACAGTTTAAAAGCACCACAAACACAACGAACGTTCAAAACTGCCGTATCCACGGAACACCGGCCAACGAACAAATTTTTTTGAGCAAATCCCGTTTACCGACAAGCTTCGGAAAATGTTTGGCGCGTTCGGTTCGGTTCGGCCGGCGCAACGTACTTACTACACAAATTTGATACAGCGCGCGCGGCGCGTTTGGTTCGTTCGGAGGGTGAAAACGCCCCTCAAATATTACAATATTTGTAATTTAAAAAACGGTTAGTCTTTCGGGAAAACGCTGACAATCAACAAAGCCAAGGGCAATCTTTAAGTAGAGCTGGAGTGGACTTACGACTGTTTTCCCCATGAGTAAGTTCGCGTAATAGCTTGGCTATTTTCAGCCAGAAAATGCAACAAAAAACGTGGTACTTACAAAGAGGTACTTAAATAAGGCTCTATTTAAGTACCTTTTTATATCTCTTTTGTTATCGCAGTACTTTTCAAATCTACCCCTAAGGAGGTGAAATGAGGTGAAAATGATTTTTATCTTTTATATTTAGTAACTGCCAAAATATAATAATTTCGCCATATTGTTTTTTCTCATGTTAGATAAAGGAAATTCTTGCTTTGCTTTATCATCACCATTACAAATGATAAATTCGAGTCGCGGGTACACGCTAGTCATTTTAAAAATACACAGGCATCAGTATTTTAATATTCATCAATAATTTTCTCATTTTTCACCCACCATCCTTTTGAAAAAGCTTACTAAGGCGGTTTTTTTAGAGCTGAGCCCATTCTAAAGGTTTTCCAACGTAATTTTCCTCACGGGCGAGCTTTATGAATGTGCCTTTTTTATTAAAAGTTGGTAAAAGAGGTGGTGTAGGTGGATTTTTAGCCACTCATTGGCGGAATATCGAAGTCAAGTGGCGGCCGGCCGTTGGAAATCAGGTCGGGCCTGGGGAAAATCGATAGTGGACCGGTTTTCGCCAACGCCCGCTTTCCAATTTCCCGACACCGATATCGTGAAAAACAAATTTTTTCCAGAAAAATTTCGTCTTCAGTCTGGGCTCAACTTTCGTTTAGTTGAAATCAGTTATACAGGGTGTCTTAAAAATAAATGCAATGCAATTTTTAGGGGTGGTATATTTTGATCCCAGAATTTCCCTTAACTAGAATTTTCTTTTGAAAATTCGAAATTTTTTGAAAAAAATTGATTTTTTTTTCAAAATCATTTTTTTTCAATCTTTATAGTATGGAAACATAGGTATACTCTGTTTTTTTTCTTCTCAGGTAAGATTACGGCAGACGATGACAGAAGAAAAGCAGATAACATCCATTCCAATCTATTTATTTTACTAAAAAACGTTTCTAATATTTTTTAAGTTAACTATGGATGGGTTTAAATATAAATCCGTCATACGTCGTATCTTGTTGTTTTTAACCAGTTTTATTGGTTTATTTCAAAAATGACAGATCATACTTCAATTTTATTGGTTTGACGAAACGCTAAACGACAAACGGACGCCGATTCGTATGAACTCGCCTTTAGATTTTTGAGGCTTGTCAAAGTCTTGCCAAATTATAGGTTATTTTGCGTCAACTTATGTCAAATATCTGCGTTTTGGAAGATGATGCATTTTGATTCGTGTTATCACGTGTGTTTTGTGTCTTTTGAAGTCGAGTGGAGGAAAAATCGAGGGAAAATTAACTGTAGACCCAGAGCACAGTTTATAGTTAATACTTGCTGCCCAGGCAGAAAGTCTTATATACCAATAAACCAACAATCCAAACTCGATTTACATTTTTTCAGTTTTCTACAGTTTTTTTCTCACAATTCTCAAATTTTAAATATATTAATTTCCTGCTATGCGTTCCAGTTGTACCAACTTATTTCTTTGTAAAATAAAATAAACTACTTTGAAATTAAAATGACAGACACATCTATCACTACCAAGGATCTTGTCGTTGGATAGACTATAGTAGATTAAATTTACAAAAAGAAATCCCAGAAAAGATCCAACGGTTCTGAAAATGTAAACGAAAAATCAATTTTTATTTAAATTTTCAATATAAAATATCTTGGTTATTTTAGACTTATTTGAAAAAAGGTAAAGAGGAAATACCGTATGATTGAAAAAAAACGCCGCCCAGTTGGCTTAGAAATGAACATCGCTGACTTTCCCCATATAATTTTACATATAAAATGACAGCGATCTTCATTTCATAGCCATCTCTGACGCCGTTTTTTTCGGTAATATGGTATGCTTCTTTTATCGAGATCTACCAGCCCTGAAAATATTTGCTCTTATATTATCACTCTCACCCTGTATAAGAAATATTTGTTTATTTAGTATGTATTTGGAATTTTTTTTATATTTTTATTTTTTCTCGAAAATTTTTCTGAGGAAATGTTGTGATTCTGTTTTCTTTTCTTAATTTTAATACTAATTAGATTATTGTTTTTTATCGCAATTCTGTTTTTTTTCCTTAATTTTAATTTGAATTTGATCGCTGTAGTTTCAACATTTTCATTTGTGATTTTCACTGTAATTTTGGAGTTACGATTTTTAAAATATTTAACCCTCTCCCATACCCCCTTACCAACTATACCAAACCACCCCCACCAAAAACTAATGGCCAGATTCTAGGGTGCCACAGTATATGTGTGCTAAATTTGGTTAAAATCGGTTTAGCGGTTTTTGAGTTATCGCGTTACAGACAGACTGACAGACAGACAGGCACCATGAAGATATTTTGTATTTAGGTCATTTATGACCCAAATAACCCATTTTGAGTGAAATTAAAAGAACTTTTTTTTGCCGATCTTAATAGCCTACCATACTTGTTGGTATGGTCGTCTAAAAACAGGTCAAATTTGCTTTGACGATGACATTGGCTATATTTTACATATAAAAAGATTTTTTTGATCATATGGTACCGATATTGTATTTCTATAACTAAATTTACACAAAATAGACGTATATGTATTTACTGAAATTGAGTTCAAATATTAATATTACTTTTCTTGTTTGTTACAGATTGGCCCTCGATAAGAAAGAACTACAGGTATGTATATAAAATTATTAGATGTCCTGTAAATTTCTGTATACACTCTGTAAATAATTCTGGGTTTTTCGATTTTTCTTGTAGAAAATCCATTGTACTATCAATGAAAACATACATAAAATGATAAACATCATTACAGTACCTCGATGTTTTCTAGCCAAATAATTATAACACAACTTGAAAAAAGAAATGATGGCAACTGTTGCCAAATTGTTGTTTGTCAGACAGTCCAAAGAAAAAAATAAATTATTCGAGTTATTTGCGCTGGAAATGACACCCGAAGGTTTGCTCCAAAACCGCACGTACCGTCTCAATGTTTACAATTTCTCTCCCGTAAATTGGTCCAAGAAAAATCTCAGTAAATTTATTGTATCATTCGGTTTTCGTGAGTTTCGTCCTTTTTCTCAGATTTGTCTCGTAAATTTGACAACAACCGGGATTATGGCGTGGTTTTTTGGTCGATTTTTTGAACTGCGTGTGTTTTTAGAGTAATTCTGGAAAAATCTCCAGACTAGGGATGGGATATTTTGAGAAAAAATGTGGATATTAGACGTTTTTTTCGATAGTGATATACTTTTTTTAGAGGTAGAAATTCTAGTTCCTCGGGACGAACAAGTTCCTTAGTTCTAGTTCCTCGAACTAGGTCTTTAGTTCACAATAGTTCCCGACTAATATTGATATCCTCGTTGCATGCTAATAGGTTTCGTTGCCAATCAGAACTATTCACAGTATGATCTGTATAATTTTTATAATGTACGAAATATAACGAGACGTGTAATTGTGTATGTTAAAAACATATAGGTACATTTTATTGCAGATAAAAAAATTTAAAAAGAAACTCAAATCAGAGTTTAAAAAACTATATCACAAATCAATTATTGGGCGAACAAATAATACGAAAATTTTACGAAAAATTGCATTTTTCCACACTTCAAGCTTTTTGTTTTTGTCCAAAAATTCAGAATATCTACTTTGTTTTATAATATATATATACCTAGCGTGTACCCGCGACTTCGTTCGTAATGGTGTGATAAAGTAAAGCAAGAATGGGCTCTTTCACTATATTTTGGAATTAGCATATTCCAATAAAGCAATTAATTCTAGAATTTTCTGCTATCTCACTTTCGAAAAATTTGAAGTCGTTCTTAAGAAAATTAATAAAAACAAAAAAGCCCAGAATAAAAATCCGCACTTTATTTTTAATACGTCACACCTGGCATGTTGAAAAGCGGCAACACGGCCGCGGTCGGGCCACCATGCTGACCCACCACCACCTCCACACAAGGCCATTCAACCTTGTCCAATATGGCGGAGATAGAAGTGCTTTATTTGGCGCGTATTTTAAAACCGGTTTTATTTCCAAATAGACATCTTTCATACAAATGTCGGGTTAGATTACGTAATATTTCACTAATTTTTTTTAATAAAAAATATTGTAATATTTGAGGGGTGGTTTCACCCCCTTGGAACTGGAATTTCGAAAAATTCCTTCTTATCGAACATCTAAATCCTAGAATCAACCTGTATGCCAAAATTGAGCTTCTTACGTTGAGTGGTTTGAGCAGGATCGTGATTAATCAGTGAGTCAGTCACTTAAGGATTTTATATTATCTTTAAATTATATCGATATTCGTACAGTATATGAATGTTTATGCGAAAGTTCTAACCTTAAGATTCCTAGCATCTTTTCCAAAATCTTCTCTAGGACGGGCTAAAATTAGTTGTAGGAGATTTTTTTCAATGTAGAGTACTCCAAAATAAAACCAGTAATTAAAATTCTGTTGTTGAAACCTTGACGTTAAATTTGGAATCTGTTTTTAGATTTATTGGAAAGAGAAATTTATGTAGCATATAGACTACATATTTTATTTTTATACCACTAGATAGATGACTTTCAACGCTTCATATGTGTGAACAAAAAAAAGACGCCAAAGATGGTTAGAGCATAATAATTGTTGATAATTATTATGGCCAAGGTAATGGCTGTAGACGTAATTTACTAAAAATTGACATAAAACTTCTCAAAAATTAACACTAATTTTATAGAAATATTAGACATATAAATCTATTTCCAAAAAAAGATTCCTGATTCTCACATATACATTCCTAAATAATTTTCTGTTTTCTGTGGTATTTATACAGTACCTATATCGATATAAAACGAATGGAAATCTAAGTTTATGGAACACATAAATAAATTAATGAGTGTGGCTATGAAGGTTAACCCAATCGATATGACCGTGTATTATGATAAACAAAGCACGACGTAGGTGTGTTAGCTTTCTATATTTTTTCCAGTTTTCTCCATATCGATCTGTTTTTCCGAATGTCAGGAAAATTTTTCTATTTAATCAACCATGTTTCCATGTTCAAGTTTGTTTAAATACCAGACATATCCAAAATAACCGAGTTATTTTACTTTAAAAATTAAAAAAAAATCCCCGACACAAACGGTACATTGTGAGACAGAAAATTGTAGAGAGAAACAAGCCTTATAACATAGGATACAACATTTTAATGAACAGTGCTTTCCATAAAATCAATAAAAGGAAAAATATACGAAATAATATACATGTACTGATTTCTTTCGAAAATCGACAAATATGAAACTATATGATCCCTTCCCCAACACAAACGGTACATTGTGAGACAGGAAATTTTAGAGAGAAACAAGCCTTATAACATAGGATACAACATTTTAATGAACAGTGCTTTCCATAAAATCAATAAAATGAAAAATATACGAAATAATATACATGTACTGATTTCTTTCGAAAATCGACAAATATGAAACTATATGATCCCTTCCCCAACACAAACGGTACATTGTGAGACAGGAAATTTTAGAGAGAAACAAGCCTTATAACATAGGATACAACATTTTAATGAACAGTGCTTTCCATAAAATCAATAAAATGAAAAATATACGAAATAATATACATGTACTGATTTCTTTCGAAAATCGACAACTATGAAACTATGAACCCTTCCCGGACAGAAACGGTACATTGTGAGACAGGAAATTGTAGAGAGAAACAAGCCTTATAACATAGGATACAACATTTTAATGAACAGTGCTATGTAGTATTTTCGCTTAAATTTTGAGATCCATTGGATCTTTTCTAGGTCTTTTATGAATGATATTATATCCTTTTTAACTAAAAATTAAAAAAAAAAAATCAAAAAACTCCATTTTTTTTTGAGAAAAAAACTCATAAATGTGTTTCTGGTGTTGAAATATACTATCCATTAAAAATATTTGTACTTATTTAAGACTCACTCTGTATAGCTTACCTCAAACCTCTAAATACAATTGTTGTTACGGTTACTTAACAACATGAGATATGCTGATGATACCGTCGTTATTGCAGACACCACTGAGGGCCTGCAAAGACTTCTTGATAGAGTGTCCTCGGTGGGCGACTCAATGGGTCTCAGGATAAATATAAACAAAACAAAAGTCATGGTGATAAATAGAGATGCAAGACAGGCAACGGAGGTAGTCGTAGGTGGGACGCCAATAGCAAGAGTCTCAAAGTTTAGATATTTGGGCAGTTGGATTAGTGAAGACCTAAACCCAGACATTGAGATCAGAGCTCGAATTGAGATGGCTAGATCAAACTTCCTAAAATTGCGGAACCTACTGTGCGATAAACGTCTCAACATCCATATAAAAGACAACTTCGTCAAGTGCTACGTACTTTCCACACTTCTCTAAGGGGTTGAGTCGTGGACACTCAAAGTAAGCGCAATGAATAAGTTGGAAGCATTTGAGATGTGGGTATATCGCAGAATGCTGAGAATACCATGGACTGACCGTGTCTCGAATGAACGAGTTCTAAACCAAATGAACAAGGACCGAGAACTCCTCGACATAATAAAAAAGAGGAAAGCAGCCTATTTGGGCCATATCATGAGACATAGCAAGTATGAATTCCTTCAGCTCATCATCGAGGGTAAAATTGAGGGAAAGCGCGGACCCGGACGACGGCAATGCTCCTGGCTGAAGAATATCAGAGATTGAACAGGCCTGGACTCACATACTTTGCTGAGAAGAGCGAAAAATAGAGAGGAATTTGCCATGGTTGTTGCCGATCTTCACTGAATGGAGAAGGCACTTTAAGAAGAAGTTACGGTTTCTTTTTCGCTAACCATGTTAGCATCATCAGCAGATTATTAAATCTGTAACTAAAAATCAATTTTAATCACCTGCTGATAATGCTATCATTCTTTTAATCTCTTTATTTAAAGATATTTCACTAGCAGAATTTTTTTCGTTATTTAATTATTTTATTTTCAGTTAATTTTTTCTTATTTATTTCATTTAATTTAATTGTTAAATAATTATATCCGAAATAATTTTAGATTTTTCTATATATACTAGTATGTCGTTATTTTTTTATAGAACACTTCAATACAAAAATGTTTTGGCGTCACGCTAGTTCAGAGCATTTACAAAATTTAGTGACGTCAGTAAAATCAATTTCATGCCAGTAGCATAATTTTGTTTTGAGAGTCAATCAAGAATGTTGCTAGTACAAATTCCCAGGTTTAGCATCAATAAATATGACGATACAAAATATTTCTAACCAATAAAAACATTTTTAGAAAATTTTGATCAGCTTAAACCAAAGTGAGGTTACTATTAAGTATTTTTTTGGGTAGCTCATAATTTTGGTAAAGCTGTTTAAGATTATTATTAATATAATCTATATTTTAGATTTTATTTTTGCCTGGACATTTATGATATGCTCGAGGCAAAATAGACATTTTTAATGTATTTTTATAAATAGAATCGGTTGTTTGTTATTATTGTATCATTTCCCATCATCATAACTGAGGTATTTATACTTATTTTTAAGCTTGAATCTTGCCTTGGTACGAATTTAGAACAGTCAAATTTTTCAACTCACATTGTGGACTGATTTCGGTGAATTTTTCTGAGAATTGTACAGCTTAATTATTTGACTCCTTATTCTCTCTTTAAATTTCAAATTAAA